AAAAAAAAAAAAAAAAAAAATACCGCTCGTATATATCGTGTGTGGCTCTCCCCGATTCGCACGCCCCTCTCGTGGCACTCGCGCTAATGAATAACTCGCGCGCGCTGCGAATGCCACGCGACGGTGCAGACGATGATTATCACCGGGGGAGGAGAGCGTGTTATTAATGTAAATCCAACAACGCGCGAACAAGTCCCACATATCCTTACAATTAGCGCTCCTTCTAATTTGCCACCGAGCCTAACGTAACAGCGCGCTGGTGAAAGGAGAGGATTTTTTTTTTATTTACTTATTTATTTATTTTTTTTTATTTTTATTTATCGAGATCTGTCACTTTTTATCCCGCGGACGCGCGCACTTCGCGTCTCCGGCATCGATCACTTGCGACACTTGAGTGTTGCTTTTGCGTCACCGGAAGAGGCGCAAATCCTCTCCTTTTATTGCCGCCTTGTATTATTCTCCAGCAATATGGAAAGGTCAAGGAGAAAACGAGAGAGAGAGAGAGAGAGAAAGAGAGAGAAAGAGAACGAGAGAGCGAGAGAGTGCGTGATCGAGACTGGATTATCATCGTGATGCATCTCAAGGAGGATCAAAAATTTATATACAGAATTAATAATTCCGGAGATATACTCACATTGCGACGCAAGTGACTTACTCTCGGTTGCGGAAATATCGTTCTCGCTAAACTATCGGAGTCTGTAAATCTCCATCGTGAAAAGTACCTCCGGATTTCCGAACAAAGAGCGATTTCTTCGACAGTTAATCCAGTCCTGATCAAGTTTGATGTGCTTGGAAACCCTCTTTTCCTTCGGCTCTGTACATTTCCCTGATCGTATACGTCTGTGTCGTGTAATATACTGTGTGTTTTTTTCTCCTCGTCCTTTCACCCCCTCCCCCGTCTCTCTCTCTCTCTCTCTGCGGTTAAGCTTTCTTTCTCTCTCTCTCTCTCTCTCTCTTTCTCTTTATCTTTTCTAAATCCACCCGACCTAGCTTCTTCTTTTCGAGAGCTGTAAATCGTTCTTTCATCTTTGTCGCGCCCGAACTCTTGTACATTCAGCATATAATCATCATTTTCTTCTTTATTTACCTTCAAATTCTTTTCGTTCGTCACCTTTTTTCCCTCCCTCCCTCCCCCACCCCCTTGTATTCTCTGTATCTCTGTGTGTAACGACTGTTTCTCCATTTCTTCAATTTCAGGAAGGTTTTGGACGGAAGAAAAAGAAAAAAGAAGTAAGACGTTACGTCACGCTAAGTAATATCGCTCTCTATCTCATCCGACTTACCTTACTTAAAAAACATTACACACACACACACACGTCACATTACGCCCGACATACACGCACACACAAATAAAAAAAAAAACAAAAAAAAAACAAAAACAGACATGCACACAGACATATGCTCATGAATTTTTCCTTCACTTCGGCATCATTTTTGGCTGATCGATTGACTTAGACACGCGTCGCTCACCGCTCGACGCCACACACCTGCTCACACCATTTCTTCTCTTCCGCAGGGATTGAAAACGGAAACAACGAAAAAAAAAAAAAACGAAACTCTCGAGAGAGAGATCTTTCGACGTTTCTCGACAACAGTTGCGAACAATTTTTCTCGTCTATCATTTTACAGCGAAATCAAAACTACCTACCTTCAATAATTAATCAAATTCTCGACAATTTATTTTGCGTGTATTGTCAGTATCGATTTTCTCGCAAATCGTGTTTCTATTAATTTTCTATTTATTCGATTTATTATTCAAATGCGTCTGTTCTCTCGGAAAAAAAATCTCTCATAAAATGTTTATCGTTTATTATTGCTGCCTTCGCGTGTTTTAAAGTAGAACGGGATGCGCAACGTGACGCACGATATAAAGCGAATTTTATTTCCGTCTCGAACTACAATAGCAATATTTTTTTTGCCAAATGGAATTGTTCGCAGCTCCGATTTTTTTTGTGGTTTAAATTTTTTTATTCTTCTCAAACGTCACACGCTCCGAGACGAGAAATCGGCTTTTAACACTGATAATTTTTAAACGGTTCTCGCTAAACGCGAGAAGTCGTTTCCAATCCCTGAGCCACGTCCGCGCGTGCCACGGTGTATATCGATTCCGTTATGTTATCATCTCAAGTCGATATATCGACCGAAATACTCATCCGTGTGCAAGTTTAATCCGAGGCATTGAATTCGAAACGTTCTGATTAATTAATTTAGAAACTATTCTTAGCGAAGGAGAGAGAACGCGCGCGCGCTATTGTATCTCTTTCAATGTCGCGAGCCTTCGTCGAAGTATCATTTTTATCGCGATGTTACATCGTGGCCGAAAAAAAAAAAAAAAAAAAAACACATCCGATGACACTTCGCACACGTACACGAACACAAACATACACGATACAAAGCGTGTTGCTTCTATATATATATATATATATATATATATACATTTTGTCCCTTGTTTGCTAACACACACACAATACACACTTTTCTTCGCAAGTGTCTTGACGTCTTACGATCGGAAGCGAGCTGCCGCTTTTGCTTGCTTACGTGAAAACGCGCGCGCGGCTTTTCTCCTCGAAGCATCTGCCAAGTCTTCCCGCGCGTTCTCCATCGTTTTGGAGCGCGTATAATATTCGCATGGGGGGAGTCAAGTGACCGAGATTCTTCTCTTGGTTCTCAAGAGCAAAACGGGAGAGTCGATAAACTAATAATATGTGTCAATCAACATCGGATAAAATTTGTTTTGCTGATGTTTTTTTTTACGAGTCAACGCAATTTTTGTCGCTTCAATTAATTCCGAGATTTCCGAGTTCAAAGGTGCAATGACTTTCGACTCGAAAGAGCGGCGCGCCATATTCGCTCTTGTTGAGGCAATAAACGCGAATTATAAACATAAGCGATTCCTAACGAGGAATATGAGTACGATCTTGAGAAGTTTGACCGTCGAACGCCCACGAAGTGGCGCGACACGTGAACACGCAGTGTGACGCACAGCGATATACAACATATCATCGCTCGTGTAATGCTATGCTTCGAGCGGGATAAGCCGCGAGAGAGATCGCCTGGTGAAGCTTACGTAGTTTTCGTGCGTATGTGAAACGCTTGGCCGCCGTTGTGTATAAAACTTACTTTCATATTCCTCTTTTCGTTTTGTTCGAACAAACTTAACGTGCACCGCATCAGCAGCTTCGAACGAGCGACGTGCGCGAGTCGCTGATAAGAGCCGCCCCGTGTTCTTCCGGAATCGCGTTATTGATTTATTATAGCAGAGTTACAGTCGCGACAATAGGAATTCACACAAACTCACGTTTTATCTCACAAAGAAGACCTCGGACAAGGCGACAAGGTCTTCGCGGCGCGCGCCACGCCTTTCCGGATGGGATTATTAGATTGTTAGATTATTAGTTTTAATATCAATTTAAAAAAAAAAAAAGAAATAAATAAATAAATAAATAAAACACCAGGTCCAAACTAGCCTTTCGAGCCTGCGCCTCTCGCGCACGCTATGCTTGTCACGTTTCCGTCCCGTGGTCGAATTCGAACGGGTCCGGACTTTCGATGATGCGAACCTTTGCAATTTTTCCAATCGAGAAAAGTCTCCCTTCGGGATTCGACGACGAGCGCGGATATAACCTGTTTTTTTTTTCTTCGATACACGCACGAGCACGCTCCGCAAGAAGTTTTTGCGCTGAGAGACCATTCAGAGAAACAAACACACTTGGCTTGTGGTGCAATTTAGACTTTAGTCATCTTAGATCGTAACACACTTGTTTTTTTTTTTCTTATTAAGGACACCCGCGCCTAAGAAAGAAATTTCGATTACGCGCGTAGTTCTTCTATACGGCAGGAAGAAGAACTACGCGGAGATAGAAGAATTTGTTGTCTCTACTTGAGACAACCGCGTCGTAGCCGGATCTTATATTTCCCTCTTGTTCACGCGAGAAATCCATTTCGGACGTTCCTTCACACGAGACGAGACACACTGCGACGAATAAGTTTTCGTTTTGTTTTTTTTTTTTTTATTTTATTTTATTTTAAAGCGACGTTAAGTTCTCGCATCCGTCGCGCGTAAATTTTATACGAGAGCGCGCTGCGGTGGAGAATGAACGACCCACGTTCGTTCTCGGCATAAATTCTACGGAACAGGGACAGCGTCTTATTGACCGAGACGTTTATTTGCTAAGCGTGCGCAATTTGTATCAATTTGCGCGCGACGTTACTACATTAGATGAAGACCTGCTAGATACACCTCCGTTGTGTACGGCAAAACGGAAAGACTATAGAGACTACATAGGGTAGTAGAGAAAGCCTATACTCTGTGTCTAGCGTTTAGGCGAACTTTAGCATCAGTCGAGTCACAAACATAGAAACGTAAAATAGGAAATAGCATTTTTATAATTGCGATCCAGATAATCGCGACCGCGGGAGAAGCCAAAGTCCAGGCTGGTCTGGACGTGTTTCCTCAGGTTCGTATGTTCACGACCCGCTTTTAGCACCGACTTATTTGCAGTACGAGCGATTTCCGAAAAAAAAAAAAAAAACAGTTTTGCTATTGACATGACCGGCAAGAAAACGTCCTTCGTGCATGGGCTATTTCTCAATGTACGTTCGGTTGTGTGTAATTATATAGAATTATGTAAAAAACCGCGTGTACAACCAAAACAATCTTCTGTATGATTGTACATGTAATTGTTACACAATAATTACACGGAAAAAAAATTTCGCCTGTTATATGGCCGGCAAGAAAACTGTGTTGTCTACTGGATTTTTTTAGTTTCGTCATTGGCTTAGCAATTTCTTCTTGCTGGCCGTATAGTAATTAATTTCTTGCTGTTCTAACAAATCTTTTTCCGTGCAGATATCTCGCGAATTTGCCCATCCGCGACGGACTGTTTTCTCGAAATTTTTTAAATTCTTCTTTAAACATTTTACCTTTATATTTGATTTTATATTGCGAAATAATTTACGAAATAATTTATGAAATAATAACAAGCTTGAATTTTTGCACAAATTTAACATAATTTAAGTAAGTGTTTTTTTTTCGCATCGCGAAATTAACATTTCCTGTGTTCGTTCAGGAAATCTGGCTCGAGAGAATTTTAATTACGCTCGCAATGATTGATCACACACACACGTTGATATTAACGCTTGTTTAAACACACACACAAGTTTTCGCTGCAACTTTCACAATCGGGAAGAGTTTTCGTTTTCGCGAAACGCACACGCCGATACAAAAACTCTTGTGACGCAATATATCGCACACACACCGGGGCTTATCTAAAAGCGGGTTATGAATAACTGGTGCACTCACACAAAGAAAAGTAACGAATAAATATTTCCAAAGAAGCTCGATTTGTTCGAATATTCATACGACGTCGTTGAATACTTTAAACGTTCGCGTTTTCGCTCTCTTCTGTGCGGAAGGTTAAGTTTATGTGTCTCTTTGCTATGTATATGCGTATCGACGCGCATTCGGAATGTATTTGCAAATATATTGTTTGTACGCATGTACAACTTCTTGTTTTTGTAAATAATACTTTTGTCAAAAACGCAAAATAAATTTCACAGATGAAAAAAAAAAAAAAAAAAGAATCGTAACAAAATCGCATTAAAGGGCGAAGCAGCAACAAGTCTGTTCTCTCTTAAAACAAAAATATAATAAAAATATAAAAAACAGCAACTTTGGTATGAAAACAACAATTATAGACAAAAAATGCGATAAATAAATTTCTTTCTACGAAAAATATTCACAAACTTTGATTAATTGCACACTTTTATTTGCGTAGAAAGGAGGGAGGAAATAATTTCTTGCGCTGTATACGAGTAGCGCAAAATCGGCGAAAATGTAGTCGGCAATAAATTTGCGCACACATCCTATGCATATACAAACACGTTATCGATGAAAATTCAAATGCGCATACATAACTCACACGTCTATTGTTCGTTTTAATTTACGATTCGAAGAAACCGATATTTTGGAAATATTTATACTATCGATTGCTCGATTATTTTTATATTTTTCGAATATAAAATGCGATATACGTGGGACGACGGGGTCTGATCCTGCATGCGCGTTTTTTTGATACAGAAATGATAAAATGCAAAAATGATTTTCGCGCAAAACTGAAAGCGCCACAAGGCCGAAGTCGATTTTGTTCCCCATACACGCCGATGTTATCCACGTATATCCTTGACATATTCGCTTCGCGATAAAAAAAAAAAAAAAAAAGAAAAAAAAAGGAATGTTACGTTACTCGAATAATTCTGGCTCTCTTGATAGAAATTTAAAGAATTATATAGTCTTTCAATTTAGTATTTGCAATATTCGTTCATTCGAAGATTCGCGAAAGTGCCGAGCAAAAAATACTGGCGAGAAACCGACACGCAGAATTAAAAAAAAAATTCGCGCGTATACGCGATGATCTTACGAGCGTTTTGTTCCCGCAGGTACGATATGACGACGAGGACGAGGACGAAGGTCCTCAGCCGGATCCAATGTTCGAGCAGGGAGCGCCGATCCCGGTCCGACTGCACAACGAATTCCCGCCCGAGTTGGCCTCCACACCTCTCGAGGATATTGATACCTTCTACCATAATCAAAGGGTACCTCAGCCATTGACGCACTAATTGGTTTAACTCTACCTCGAGGCAGCTCTGAGTCTCGCGCAAAATGCAGCGAATTATTAGAATTCTGGGTTCTGAACGAGCGCGGCGTTCGACCGCCTCCGCCGCCGCCGCCGCTGCTGCTGCAGTTATTTTCAAACTTTGACTCTCGTAACTTTCGTAATTGCTTCGTGTAACTCTTTTACAGCTGCCGACGATGAGGAGCTCGATATAAAAGCTCGTATATGTCTGTGCAAAAAAAGAGCCGTTTATAATTTAAAGCCCGCGGACGTACGAGAAGAGTTGGAAATTATTAAAATGAGAGAAAAAGAGAGAGAGAGAGAGAGAGAGAGAGAGAGAGAGAAAAAAGAGAGGAAACTTGATTTTTCGAGTCGCTCCCTCTCTCTCTCTTCTCTCTCTCTCTCTTTCCCTCTTTCTCTCGACTTTGTGTGTTAAAAAAAAATGTCCTTACTAATTCTTACAGATTGTCGCATTGTACAGAGAATCCTGTGCGTTTGTTCGCAGACCTTCGTCGTCATTAGCAAGGGAAAGGACATATTCAGGTTCTCGGCCACGGATGCGATGTGGTTGCTCGACCCGTTCAACCCAATACGACGCGTGGCCATTTACATATTGGTTCACCCGCTCTTTTCCCTCTTCATCATCACCACGATATTGGTTAACTGTATACTCATGATCATGCCCACCACGCCTACCGTCGAATCAACCGAGTGAGTATCTTTTCTCATCTTCATGTGACGGTTCGTGAAAATAAAAAAAAAAAAAAAGTAAAAAAAAAATAAAAATAATAAGAAACACGAAAACGAAATAGAAACTACACTCTTAACAAGCGGAATTCGATTTTTCTCGTGACCTCCCGATCACAATTCGAAACGAAAAGACACTCGAACGAATAATAATCGCAGTATGAATCGAATCGCAGGATGAATAATCTATGAGAAAAGTAACGTCGTTCCAAAATTAGCCGCAACGTTATTGATCACTTTTAACGTCGCGAATGGCCAAATATACAATCGCCTTTGTTTTTTTTTTTTTTCTGTTTTTTTTTTTATCCCCTCGAGATACACACACACACGAGAGAGAATTCTGCAGTGACTGGGGACGGGACACACTTAAGCTTGTTCTTAAGTGACACCGAATTTTTAACGTAGTTTTAGCGTGCCAAGAAGTGCCTAAGCTGGAGATGCGTTTTTATATCGTTGTCAGTTAATTTTTCTGGATTTTCTTTTCCTGAAGTCTCAAGAGAGACTTCTTTAGCTGCGATTTGTTTTAAACAAAAACAATCCGCTCCAGAGTTTAGAGAGTCTGCGTTGTAGTTCACTTCGCGTACTTTAACGTAATCTGGGAAAGAATCTCATCGAAGGCTTACGGCGACACATGTTACATGAAAGAATAGATATTTCAAGTAATTGTTCTATACGTGTTATAGCTCTAATATATGAGTAGAGACTGTGATAAATTGTGTTCCGTTGGTAAGTTACGTATTAGTCTCTTTAGAGGTAGCACACCGGGCAAAATCGCGCGAACGATTCACACGGGAAACGTGCAAGCGTCCAATTTCTGATTTTATTTATTTATTTATTTTTTTTTAATGAGAGATTTCTATCGATTTCTATATTATTTCTTGTTTTTTTTCTTTTTTTTGTAATCGATAAAGTCGACGAGTCGCGCACAGATTGCTCTGCAATGTGTGTGTCTTTTTTTTTCTTTTTTTACTAATTCATTATGTACACACACATCTCTTTTATTCCGAGCACTTCGTTCGCGTGCGCCTGATGCGAATATACTGTGGTAGTTTTTTTTATTAATTAATTAATATACATATATCAATGCGCAATAAAATAGATATGTTAGAAATTGTCGGAGATTGCGTCACCGAAATTTGTAGACTAATTATTATTATTATTATTATTACAACAGCGATTGCTGTTTAAAAAGGAAAAAAAGTTTCTTCGTTCGCATGTATTTTTCTCTTCAAATTTCAGAAATTCACATTTACAACTTAATTGTTAGATATGTACTCTAGGTACGATTTTTATATTAATAAAATAGCTGTTACATTGTTAGAAAGAGATATATGTGTAAAAATAATTGTGAACCTAACCGGATGGATTTGTTGTGTTGCAGTTGCGATCGCGCGTAAAAGTAGCGCGATTGTGCCGTAACACAACGTGTGTGAAAAATCCGTTATTCTCGCGAGAGACTCTAAACGCTCTATAAGAGCGATAAAAAAAAAAAAAAAACAAAACAAAACAAAAAAAATCAACGGACCTGAAAAACGCACCTTAAAAACGCTGAGCGTTGTGTGTTTGTTGTTTTCAGAGTGATATTTACGGGCATCTACACATTTGAGTCCGCCGTTAAGGTGATGGCGAGGGGTTTCATTCTGCAGCCTTTTACCTATCTTAGAGATGCATGGAATTGGCTCGACTTCGTAGTTATAGCTTTAGCGTGAGTAGTTAAAAACTTGTTCTTTAATAAAACCAAAACAAAAAAAAAGAGAGAGAAAAGCGAAAACGAAGCGTGTAAACCGAAAAAAAAAGTAAGCAAACGCGAGTTTATCACACGGTAGAGTATATATATATGTACATGGTGGATGTAAAGGAACGAAAAAAATTGTCATTATTTCGTCGTCGTTAAGTGTCATCGCGGAGAATTTCGCGAATCTCGTTTCCGCCGAGATTTTTTTGCAATCTCAAAAATTAAAACGCCAATCTGAGACCCGTTGAATCGGTTTTTCACTCTAGCGAAAATAACGGTAACGAGCGAAATTAATTAATAATCAGCCGTTGATGCGAAATTAACGTTGCGACGACGACAACAAATAAATGGTGAAATCATGACGATTTTGACGCTCGCACGACGAGGATACGTCGAGGCAAAAAGTCCACGCAAAAAAAAAAAGAAAAAAAAAAGAAAAAAAGAAAAAGAAAAACCGCAAAGAAAACAAAAGAGAAAACGTTAATTAGCACATCAAGATTAGATCGTTCCAGGTTATGACAGTAGACTTCTTCGCTAGATCTCGTTGAGTACGCTATAACGTAAGACTTATATATTCGTAGCATCGATTACGTATTATACTATTATATATCTTTACTCGATTTACTTACGTTTCACATCACGCCTCACAATTTTACACGTAGACACGCATATATATATACATTATGTGGGGTGTAATTACTCTAGGTTACTTAAATTAGTTTACCTATATAGATAGGGATTAGATTATATTATTTCTCTTTTTATATATACATATATATATATATATATACCTATATATATATAGTGACTTTAAAACAAAGAGTTCTTTACTTGCCATCGTAATACGTTGATTAGACATTAGTTTACTTTCTGCGTCGAGTCGATTAAGTCAGTTGACTAATTGTTGTAGTTTTTAGTACATATCTTATACATATATATATACATATATATATACATACATGTGTGTTGATATACACACATATATACATATATATATATATACATATATATATTCTTCTACTTCAGTAATATTGTTCATAGATGATCGATACGTGTACACGTTTTTTCTACTCGATAACCGAGTACTCGACTGCGCATCGTAACATCGCCGATCGTGTGCTACGAGATATTGTATATGACCTATACCGGCGATCCGCACCGTGTATCTCATATACGGAGAGAAATCGGTCTCATTTTTGCGCGAAATGTTTCTCTCTCTCTCTCTTTCTCTCTCTCTCTCTCTCTCTCTCTCTCTCGCTCTCTCTCGCTCTCTCTCTGTGATATTAGCAATATCGGAAAACAATCACAGATTTCACGTCCCACTTCGAAGGACCGAGATCACGCTCCGAGGTCGGAGCTATAGCGCGCCGTCGGTGAAATTATAATGCCGTACTACTTTCACTTCGAAACGAGAGAGAGAAGTTTCAACTGGAAACTTGAAAGAAAAAAAAAAAAAGAACCTCGTTTGTCTTTCCAGAGGAGAGAGAATGTGTTAACGCGACGAGTATTATGTCGCGTGACAAATATATCTGAGAAAAAAATTTTTAATACACTATGTAAACAAAAAATAACAAATCTGAAAAATCTTGTTCTCGTGGCAAGCGGAGCGCGGCGTGTTACGTTGAAGAATCGTGCATGCAGTAATAGCTACCTTTTTTTTTTTTTTATATTATATATATATATTATATACATACGATTACACACATTGCAGTTCGTGCAAACTCTCTAGGTAGGCCTTTTATTAGGAGAAAGTAGCGAGTTTTTTCGACCGTATGCGTAAATTTCTTTTTCATACCAATTTCTTCTCTCCCCCTCTGCCCCCCCCCCCCGATCTTTTTCTAACTCTCTTCTGTTTCTGTCTTTTTGTTTGTATCTGTCACTGTAATGTGTGTGATGTTCGGGTGTATTGCAGTTATGTGACGATGGGCATAGATCTAGGCAACCTTGCCGCTCTCAGGACATTTCGAGTCCTCCGAGCCTTGAAGACTGTCGCTATTGTACCAGGTATGCTTAGAGTATAGAAGTGGTTGTTTTGTAGAACGCAAAAATCTTAGTGGTTTTTTCTAGACGACACTACTACTACTACTACTACTATTTGCCGCGATCGTTGTACACGTCGTTTACGCACCATTACACGCCGACAACAGTTTCTTGTCTTATGTGTAACTGCAGCTTCCATCTGATCCTGCGCGTCTCATTCGTCCACCCGATGTTGTATGTTTCCAATGTGTTCGTCAACGGATGTCTCTCACTCTCTCTCTCTCTCTTTCTTTCTCTCTCTCTCTCTCTCTTGCGAGTTGGTTTTTTATTTTCTTTTACGTTTTCTCGTTCCATTCCTTCGTTTCGTCACCTTTTTGCATTTCTTCCAGTTGCGTATATAAATAGCTGTGAAAAATAAACACACAAACTGTCGAACACGATGCACAGATCTTTGGACGTGGGTGGTGACACAGCACACAGTTTGATGACGCATACATATCGTATCAGGCGATATCGAGAGAGAGAGAAAAGAAAATTACTTTTAATAATCGATGTGTGTATTTTAAATTTTTCGTTCCGTCCGCGTGAATTTATAAATCGCGCGCGTCATCAAATGTTGCCTCTCGTCCCGATTGTGATGTGATCAGCAAAACTTTCGCACGCGTCAATGTCTATAATTAAAATTCGTCAAATCGTCAATTATCATATACGTTTGAGATTACATTTTTTCCCTTTGTTTCCGAAATTTTCGCCCGGCAGAGTGTTTGTTTGTTTTTTTAGTTTTACTTTTTTTTCTTTTTTTTTTTTTTTTTTTTTTTTTTTTTTTTTTTTTTTTTTTTTTTTTTTTTTTTGTATTTCTCACATCTCTCACGCTTCCATCATCCATCTGCCTGCGCCTCTCAGTCGAACTGCCACTTTTGTTAC